TTAAGGGCATAAACTACCTTAGAGAAGACTGGTGACTAACAATACTGTGTGACTACTGTTATTAGGAAAGAGTAAAAACTAGGATCCTAGAAAAGATTGGAGAATAAAGCAAATTTTAACTGATACTAACAGCCTAATAATAATACAAAATGTTGGAAGTTAGGATGTAAAGTTCTAAGTTTTCCTTTGTTCAGTAAGTGGCATGTGCCTTTAATGAAAGTATTTTAAACAGAAGGAAAATATTTTGAAGAAACAAACAAAAAAGGGAAAATCACCTGTTAATTCACCCCTTACAGCCACTTTCAGATGCCATTTTTAACATTCATCAGACACTTTTTAAACTTTATTTTTATGTGTGAGAGTGATTTCCTGCATGTGTGTATGTGTACTGAGTGTATTTCTGATACAGAAGGTCCCTGGAAATGAAGTTTAATAAGGTGGTTGTAGGCTGCCATGTGGGTACTAGGAAATGATCACTAGTATTGAGTCCTTTGCAAAAACAGTAAGAGCTCTTAACCCAAGCCATGGCCCAGCCTCACTCTGGGCACTTTTTAAAGCATGTATAATGTTCTATGGTTTAGCTAGCTACTCACACCTTCTCAGAAAGGAGCATTTTAATTGGAAGGTAGTATGAATAGCAGTGTCTCAGACTTTGACTTGTTAGCTGTCTTCAAGTTTGAGCTTACATACCAAATGAGTTCCAAGCCCAGTAGTATAACTGTATCAGCCCAAAGATAGCATTAATAAAATGCATATCTTCCCTCTAAAACTCATAAGAGGGGCAGGTTTGGGGGACCAAATCTCGCTCTGGCTTCCTTGCTGGCTATTATTTTGGACAAGTTGTTAGACTATTGGGCTGGAAGTATCCTGTTCTGTAAAATCAGATTGTTAACATTTTATACCCCCTTACAGTATGTGGATAAATGAGTAAGGTGATGTATTTGAACTGTTAATTGTTAATGCTTGAGATTGGACAGTATTCACCAAATGCCATCACTACTGTTGTTGCTGTTAGGATTATCACTTCTGTACCATTACTCAGGAGCTTGCTGAAAATATATGTTTCCAGTGTAACTGAATTAGCCCTAGTGACAAAATAATTCAAGGCACATTTCCTTCTGGAGGTGAATCAGAGATATCATCTTTGCAACATTTATTGAGAAAATCTAGGTATAGAATAAGAAAAAAATGTAGTGTAATTTAGCTTAATATGGAGATGATAGTATACAAACCAAATTTATGAGTTTCTTTGTAGAAATTATGTTTAAATTATGTTTAACAGCATTAAGTACTGTTTATTTTATAATTTGGGACTTAAGTTATTCAAAGAAACTTTATAGTCTGAAGTCCCAGTGATCATAAAGTAGTGAAACTTTCTTTAAACATCAGTTATGGAAAAGAAAAATACAATTTTGGCTAAAACTAACATCTTCAAGTGGAAGACTTTATAATCCTCAAATCTTTGCTTACACATGAGAGTTAACAAAGATCTCTAGCCTAAGTTGGGGCTATAGATACTTGAGAATATTTATCAAACTGAATGTATAGTATTAGGAAAGTAGGAAAAAATAATTCAGATGTTCTATGAATGATACAATGGAGTTTATATGTTTTCTTATAAAAGCAGTTGACAATACATTATTAACTTTTTATTTATTTTGTCTTACTTATATTCTAGTGGCACTGGGGATTGAACCTGTGCCCGCATGCATGATAGGCAGGTACTCTACTGTTGAACTGTATTTCCAGCCCTGTGTTAACTTTTAAAATCTGTAGTCTGGCTTCAGTCTTAAAAGCCGAACTACATCACAAAGAGATTGTGTGCTGTATTCTTACATAGAGTATGCTTCATTTATAGTCACCACCTCTGTGCACAAACCATGTAACGATAGACACCTTGGTTTTTCTTTGTCTTAAACCCTCAGATGGAAAAATGAACCAATAACATCCTCATTGGTCTATGTTTATGGTTTCTAATAAGTATCTTTATATATCTTGATACATAATGGGTACTCAGTAAATGGTATCTGCTACCAACTATAATAACCACAACAGTAATAAGACAAAAGAGCCTCTAAGACAGTAATCATAAGCTCATTAATATATATTAATATGTAACATGCATTAATATATGAGTATGTAAATCATAACAATTGAAATTGTTTTGCCTAATATTTGACACACAGGAAATCCAGATGTAAATTTGATATATTTAAATGCTTTCATGGAAAAGGTGCTGTAATTATTTTAGTTAAATGAAAATACAAGCCAAAACTTCCAAGCTAACCCAATCATACAAAAGTGATAAACAACAGCCTCCCAATGATTGTTTAATTTTTACAGAAATGACCAAATAATTTGGGCTTAATGCAAATAAATAAGATGTGCAATGTTCTCTATGAAGTGATAGAAAAGAGAAATGTGTGGAAAAATCTTTGATGACCCCTGATTTGAATAATATTAATTGGAATCATTTTAAAAATCAAGAGGCTACTATTGCTAGCTGCAATAAATACATATGGAAAATGGCTACAGAGATTCACAACATAAAAATAGTTCATTGCTAAATTGGAAATTCTGTTAATGTCACAAACAGTGGGCTGTGAAACACGAATGAATTGTGGTGACAGTTGAGTACCAAGCTGACTATTTTTTCCCCTCAGAGCTGTCCGTATTTGGCTGTATATTTCCCTCATCCTGATTTAACCCATCAATATTTGTGCTTGTCTAACTAGCACCACCTTGCAACATACACATTAAAGATTTCATTTCTAACCCGCCTTGTTTCCTACTAAGCCTGTTTTCACTTTGTTACCACAGGTGTCTACTGTCCTGTAGTTTTCCAGATTCCTCACTTTATAGTCGAGGTTTTGAGCATCTTCTTGCAGGCCTCTGTGTTTATTATAGTCTTCCTTTTTTTCCAGCTGCCTAAGGTCTTTCTACCCTTTCTCATCTGCAGGCTGTTTATTAGAGCATATTTCTTTTCAGGATAGCTTTGACTTTAGGTACTTACTGGTCACCTAACCGTCTGCATTCACTTTCTATTATAGTTTTCTCACTCTAGTTTTTCTGAAACTTCATGGCAGGGTCTCTATGATGCTGGCTTTTGTGAACAAGACTTATTTTCTGAACCAAATAAAACTCCCTTCAAATGCAGCAGCTCCACACTTCATATGCTAGGCTGACCTTTGGGAAATGTCATTAAAAGACTCTGTGAAGAGTCTTTTAAAATGCCCAAATTATTGAGGCTAATGGCTTTTGTAGCATGGATACCAGCCCTATCTAATAGAGGAACAGGCCTAGAAATATATTTTTATGTGGATTTTACTGTGTGTGGTGATTTGGCCACGACTTATTGAATGACCTCTCTTTTCTAACCATTTTAATCTTAGAATAATCCTCTCTGATACTTACTGTTCTCTTCACTTAATAAAGGAGAAAACTTTAACCTTAACTTCTTAAATGATGAATTCAAGGTTCTAATATGCTAAAGTTTGTGCTATGAATTGAGCACGTAGTTGACTTTAGGACAGCAAAGTAAAAATTTTCAACTTTTATGTCCTATTTTTATTCTTTCAAATTGAAAAAAAATGGTTGTTTTTTAAACTGAACATTCAGTTAAAAACTGAACATCGAAAAGAACATTCAAAAGGTAAGAAAACTACTGAGCCCAGTTCCCAACTCCAAAAATTGTTCTTAAAATAGATTATTATTGGTATATTTTACAAGCTTCAGTATGACAGTACATTTACCTTTTCTCTTAATCCCAGTGTCTTCCACTTGCTTCCCTCTGTTAATATATTGAGTACTTATAGAGTATTAGAATGTTCTGAATCAACTTTTGTGGTTCAAGAGTCGTAATTGACCTCTTAACAAGCTATTTGTAACTCATCTTTTTATAGATGCAAACATTATAAAGGTATTGAGACATGTTCATTAATAGTGTTAATAAAAATATAGTGGAAAATGCTACATAATGTATGTTGCACCTTGTTACTGCTTCCTCCCCCCACCCTAAAAAAATTGTTGACATGAGAAAATATCCAGGTTAAAAACAGCACTCAATTTTAAATTTTTGCATCTGTGTGCACTTGTATTCACACTTGTAAAAAATATAGAAGAGTTACATATCTTGAACATAGATTCAGTAGAGATATAATTGAAATCATAATACATTTTAAACAATGTTTGACTCTTGTGTTTCTCTAGTAATGTGAGTCCATAGGAAAATGAAACCAAACACATCAAATCCTTCTACTAACAAAAAATGAGCTGTGCAACAACTGTCTTGAAAAATGGGTTGGACACTGACTAACCACTGATTTTCTAAAATAGTGTTGTAGCAATTTTAAGTTGTAGAATGTACAACACATGAGAAGAGTCAGTAGGATCTCTGTCATGGATGAAACTAAAAAACATCATTGAAATATAATATTGAAACTAATCCCCTCTCCATATTTTTATATCCCATTTCACTAATGTGTTGCAAAAAAAATAAAACAACAAAACAAACAAAAATAATCAACAATAACAACAAAAAATAACCCGCCATCTTCTACTCAGATGAAGTGTCCAGACAAGGAAGTCTGTAAATAATTAAAATAATGAGCTAGAGTACAAAAGACAGATAGACAGAGTGACAGAGGCAGAGAAAGGGATGGCATGATGGATTCAAGTGGAAAAAATCATTCACTGAAAAATGTTGAATATTCCAAAATATAAAATTAATGGAAGGGAAGAACTTTTTTCAAGAGAAAATACTTTCCATCCTTCAGCAGCAATGCAGAATTGATGGCCTGATGATAAAAAGCCTTTTTCGTGGGGTTCTTGGGAAGAACGTGGTCATCACAGAGGCTTCACTTGGTGTTCAGTTGCCCTGGGCAATCTGATCAGCGTGTCCTTGTTTCTAGAACTAAGTAAACCAAATCAGGATGAACGACACATGGTTTAATAGTTAACTTTCAGAACAAGGGGCAGGAGATGCGTTTATGCCATCATGCAGTCTTCATTCCAGTCTCATTACTGAAGTCTGTTCTGAGAGCATTTACAACTTTCCGGAGAGTATAAGCTTGGCAAAAGCCTGAAGATGGAAAGAGAGCTTAATGGCCATCTCGTTCTGGAGTCTGCTTAATTCAGGTGAATCCTTGCAGCCAGTCATTCTCTAGGACCCAGATTCTTGTTATTAATGGTGTTATTGTGATTATTACTAGCCTTTGCTTATCATGGGAGGTAGCTTTCCATTTTACTAACCTTGAAATTTGCAAAAAATCGTCTGACTACTCTGAGTCTCTGAGGAAATCAATGTCCTCTCCAAGTAGGAAATTTGAGGTAGTTTGAAAAGTACTTGGGTATGCAAATTCAATACGACATTTTACAGACAAGATACAGAAAATATCTTAGGAATACTCTTTTATTTGACAAAGGACAGGACGAATGAACAGAGAAAATTGTATTACATGGTATATTCGGTCCATAGGGCTCAGGTGTTTGACCTTTTGGGTTTTACCTGTTCTCCTTCTTTCCTGGAACCCAAATTATGCACTCTCTAGATAGCTAGCTAACAGACTCTCCTCCTCTTAGCATCTCTTTCATCTCATCAGAAGGAAACTAACCATAGACTAGGTCCTAACATATTTAACAAACTGGGTTTGAGTTTTCTGAACAAGTATTTTAAACAACAGAATGAGAGTAGCCTTTTGCTAAGCACTGAGTTCATGAGAGTGTCCGAAGAGTTTGGTATAGAGTTGATATTAGATACAATAGTTGATATTAGAATATCATAGTTAAACTGAGCAGCAACAATAACAACAGTCAAGAAATGTTCCTTACTCTCTCCTTTTTAATTCTATAAACAAATATACTACCATAAAATACTTCAGCGAACAGAAAGAGCATGTGCCTATATTTTTGTTATATGTTCATATAACTTTATTGTAGTTCCTGCCACACATTAACATTATTATCTGTGATGTCTCTTAGGATCATCTTGTGTCTGTGCTGTTCTATTAATGTTACTGGTTTTTCTCATTCTCTGGTTTTATTTGCTCTTTTTATCTATGCTAAGTAGTTCCTTTTCTAGCCTCCCTGTGCACACTGGACAGATGGGTGCTTTTCTCTACAGTGCCCTTTAAAGGATGAAGACAGAGGAGATTTTGAAGAATATTTTACCAGAATAATTGAAAAATTATTTTCTGTATATCATATATACAAACACAACAGTGATGTAAAATGCAAATTGTATGCATCTGTGCTCTCCTCTGCTTTTATTATGGTGGCTGGTGCTGTAGCATCTAAGCACTTTGTTATCCCTCTTACTATTGTTTACAACCTGATCACTCCAAACTGTCTTTGACAATCAGAGAATTTCATTAGCAGTTCATTCACTTGCTGTTTTTCAGGACCTTTGCATGTAAAAGTATCAGAGATCTTACTTAGTAGCTATAGCACATACATTACAGTAAAGCAAAAGAATACTTCTGACATGAAGGTAGGGGAAGACCATCCCAAAGCATTTCCTAACATTAAGTTTATGACATATAGTGTCCAAATAATGATGTAGAAGTCTATATCCAAGTGAAAACTGAATCCTTCATTACTACTTTTCTTTATCATGTTCTCTGCCATTGTAGTAATGAGAACTGTGATGTGAAGAACATACATGATGCCCACATTTTCCATATGTAAAGATCAGGGCAATTCTACCTTTTCAAAGCAGGATCTCTATTGATGTAAACATCTCTTAGCTCAGAACTATAGGTGTCAATCTTTGTTAAAAGCTACTGTTATTTTTTATAACTAAAATGATGAAAATTTATTTATTAAGAGGTTCATTGTCATTATCGTGGAGTGTGCGTGGTCGGTACCTTAACAGTTTGATTGAATTAAAATCAAGTTCATGCTGGGGTTTCTTTTGCAGCTCTATTCCTTGCTTTCTCTTTGACTCCAAGCTAATTGCGTAACCTCTGGTTGACTTGTGCCTCGTCTACACATTCAAAGTAAAAATCAGAAATGAGGTTATTATCTAACTAATGTAGGCTGGAACATTATTTCTCTAAATATTTCTGGGCTGCATTTGAGATTTCTGATAGTAAAAAACCCAGAGTCTTACGAACATTCTCCTGTAGCCTTAGACAACTACCCTATGGGAGAGTATACATTAGGGCCACACACAGATGAGAAATCTTGCAGTAATCAAACTGGAGATGATGTTCCTTTCCTACATACACCGAGCTTCTTACTCTGACTCTAGAATCCAAACCAAGTCCTTAGTGCATTGCTGAACAAGAGACATTTTCTGATTCACTGCCCTAAGGGAAATGTAGTGCCAATACCAGAAAAAAAGACACTCAGTCTCTTCATGCCATAGAAGTAAAGTGTCAGAATGCAGACATGAACCTGGACCTTCCAGCTTTCAATCCTACTGTATTCCAAAGACACACTATTTTCCTTCACTTTATTTGTGGTTTCAATGACTCCCAACTGTCTTGGAATACTATACTGTAATACAGTACTATAAAAATAGTAATTGGACACACATCAACTAATTTTTCTTCTTAAACATGTGGAAGAACCCATTTTAGTGATTAGTTTTGGCCAAAGAGTATTTTAACAGCAGTCTTGTATTCTTTTGGGTTAATGAGAGCAGTAAAATAAATCATCTTTGTCTTCACTCTTTATGGTCAATATGTAGATATGAACAGGTTTATGAACTATAGCCAAATTCCACTATGACAATATTTAATTAAAGAATTCCAATGCAAATCGCTCCTCTGGAAACACATGACAACAAAATACAGTAAGGTGGACAGCGAAAGGCGGGACAGCTACTTCAAAGACACTTAGGACAGCTGTGTTCTAGTACTGTCTCACTCCTCAGGAAACATCTGCTGAGCTTCAGGAGAGCTGAGACTGCATAATACCTTGCTTCTCTAACATGTCTGAATGTTAAAGAGATCTAGCAAAGTTGCAAATGATGTCTCGGTTGCTGTATGAAAATTCAGTTTCAATTCTTTTGGACTAGCATTTGATCATTTCTAAATATTAAAATATTTGATAATTGTAATGTGTAATTAGAGTTAAGAATTACTTTTATAAAGTTTGAGAGCTTAGGTATCGAACCCAGACAGATCTGAGTTCGTATCTTGGTGAGTTGGCAACTTTAAATTTGGTAATTCTGTTAGCTTTTGCTTTCTAGTTTATAAAATTCAAACAGTTACAGTCTTTTAAGCTATTGAAAATTAAATGAGATACCATAATTAAATTTTGGCATCATGGTGCTTAGCTTGTGATATGAATCTATTACAAGTTAGCAGTTATGGCTAAGCATCTCACTTTATCTGTAAATTAGGGGAAATCACTTTTAGAAATGGTAAACAAGTATCTTAAAACTTCATATGGATATGTATCTAACATCTTGTCCCCGGTCTCGGCATTAGCTCAAATTTGTCGTTCTTACTCTACATGTAAATGCTAGTTACCCTGATTTCTCTGTAACATTGATACTTGACAGAAACAACATGAAAGAGGACAGGTTTATCTTAGCTCACAGTATTAGTGGATGCCATTCCATTTTAGCAGGGAAGGCATGGGAATGCACCTAACGTGGAGCAGCCAAAGCATGCAATGAAGTTTCTTCTCATCATAATAGGCAAGGAAACAGAAAGTAAGAGGACAGAACCAGGGATAGCCATAGGCTCCAAAGGCTAGCTACCACTGACGTACTTCAAACAGGTAGCCCACACTTCTTGACATTTCCACAGCCTTCTAATATCAGGCCAACAGTTTGGATACAAGTCGTGATGACATGAGCCTATGACAGACGTTTTAATCTCAAATCAAAAAAAAATTTATTAACTTGTTAGTTGAAGTCTTTGACAGATTCAGCCTTCATTTTGGTATTTTGTCAAGTATTGCTACTTTCAACTAAGAATGGACACATGGAAATAATATAAATCCACTGAAATTCTCACAGATACAGTCAAGGTATAATAGACTGTTGACATATACTTTCAGAAGTAGAAGTCTGAGCTTTGCAGATGTCTAAATAAAAATTAGCATGCCCCTGGTGTTGCTTATCTGCCATCACCCACTGGCCATCTAAACTCAACCATTGGTAGCTTCTTCTCAGAGGATAAGTGATGTCTTTTACCTGCTGCTTAAATACTCTTCATTTTCCCTATTTTCTGTAAGCCCTATGTGACTCTGAAGAATTAATTAGACATATGAATAGGTTAAAATTGTTATGAATAGGTTAAAATGGTTTATGAATCTATTTGCTTAGTTCTATATATTTTATTAGGATAGCTTTCAATCATTTACCTAATAATTTTAACAATTGAATCATTTTTTATGAAAAAAAAACACCCCATGTATTGAAGTAACATATTTTTGGATGGCCTGAAAAGAATCATTTGAGTATGCAATAAAAGTACACGTGGTTCCATTTTCCTTGACTCATACCATAGTAAGTATTAGTCAAGTCACATGCCTAAATTTGGGAAATTTTGTAGCACTCTGTCACTAAGTTTCAGGGCATATAAAATACTGTTTGCCTGGCTTTTAAGTCTGTGGATCTTACATGGTGCCTGGCATGGAGATAGGAAGGACATTTTTTTCCATTAAGCTTTTACTCTGTTTTGAAAGGAAAAGTTGAAACAGAGTCCCTACTGAGATTTTAACATGTTCCATGGTGGTAACCATAGGAAATAGGGAAACAGGAAATTTTTGGACAGAAGGAAGCCAAGGTGTCCATCTCAGCCTGTCCTCACCTCTCAGATACCATTTGGGCTTGATAAGATTATTTTTATCTATTTATATATTTAATGCTTTATATTTCCATAGTCATTTCAGAAAGTATAGAAAATATTACTGCTGATTGTATTCTAAATAGAATGTAGTTCTTATGTTCTGGAGGAACTGATGGAAACATTCCTTCAGATGCTAAATAGGTAAGACAATGGAAGTTTGCATTAGCAGAGATCATTTGGAATATTTAGAAGAATTCTCAAAGATTGTCTAGATATGAGGAAAAATTATTATTGTATAAAAATATATGAGCACAAAATGATGATACTGTTGAGTTTAGGTCACGTGAATTTTCACACACAAATGCTCATATATTCTTCATCCTGGTCACC